AATAGTGCTCGAATTTTTTTTCCGAAAAATGATTTTTTTGACCGTGCCTCGTATACACCTTGATTTACTATATTTTATGTGATCATAACCCGACATGTATTTGAGTTCCGATCAATATATTTTCTATCTTATTTTGTCTTATTTATACTAAAAAACAGTTTTTTTCTTTGTCAATCCTACCCCGATACGACTTTACTACGAACTTTGTCGGCTTATATCTCAGAAACTAAACATACAAAACGTTTCAAACTCACATATTTTTTCAATGAGCCATCCCACAATAACATAGTAAAATTTCAGCCAATTCGACCGAGAGCCAATTTCCCGTGTTTTCGTGCGGGGTCCTTTATTATTGATAACTCGGCATGTTTTGCCTGACGCTGTACCTTCTTCTTCTTCTTCAAGTGAAATAATCATACAATGATTTAATCTAACATGGATTTGTCTAACTAATATATATTTTCGAACCCAAAGGGTTGAAGATACCTGCGAGAAGTCTAGTTAATCCTACATTCTGGAAAGTAGGCACAGTATCTACATTAAAATTTGGTCACAACTAAATGTGGATGGAGATTAGAACGCTTATTTCGACAGAAAAACATTGTGGAAAACATGGTTTAGTTTTCAGGTAATACGCAAGTAAACGAACTTCAATATTAATAAAAAGAACATCAAACGTCATTATATATTTGTACGATAAATAAAATTACATAAATATTTTCATTAGAAAAATATGTTCTTTGTATGAGAGATTCGAAATGAATACCGCCCAAGTATAATAAAATAGATACACCATAGTATAATAGAGACCTCCAAAATAAATAAAAATACTGTTCAATGCTATGAAATGAAACATTTTTTTCATGAGTTGAACGAAGAAAAATAACTAGATCATATTCTAGATTTTTTCATCACATTTCTTTTTCACATACGTGCTCTTGGGTACTCTCAAAAACGATAAGGAAGGCACATTAATTCTAATATAATAGAGCACCTCAGAGTACAAAATAATATTGGATACCTATGAATAATAATAGAAAGAAAAAACTAACCTTGACCATGAGTCACATTGAAACGAAAAATAATACTTTTTGAACAGACATGTTCGAAAACTGAAAAGGACGGACCTAGATAACTTAAAAAATTTGGTTCAGTTTTCAGTGAGATTCGATACTGAGTTATTCTAGCCACCATTGATTCAAACAAAATTTCGAGTATTTCAAAATATCCTCGCATTCACTTGATTTCAAGTTTTAGTAAGTCCGGGTGGGACGGACCAAGTATTAGACGATGGACCTTTCCAGTTATATTTAGGAAAAACATAATCCGGAAAATATGACTTTGGAATAGGGATAGGCAAATTTATCCATATATTGATAATTATAGATAACATTGATAAAAAATCAGATAAAATATTATCGGTAATATCGCTAATATCGATGATTATCGATAAAATTTTCGATGATTTGCCAATTGTCGCCGACTCCTATAGTCCATTCCAACTCAGAAGACAGCATTGGAAGTCATAGGGAAGCGTTGACCTTTGCTTTCAACGGTTGAAGTTTACTTTATGGGAAGATGTCCACATGATAAAATTCCAATTATTTTTCGTACATTGAAATTTTGCCATCATTTAGGATTAATCGTCATATATTTAGAAGAAGCGCCACCTACTATCTTCTTATTTGGAATGAAGTATATAGTTCGCTTGCTACCCGTAGCACGCCTAATGTTCCTTTTCGGGTACTTAATGCAAGAAATATCGACAATATCGATAATATCGATACATTGTGATAATCGATAATCCAAAATCACTATCGTCCACCCCTATTTTGGAATACTTCAAGATGATTTTTTGACTATATTCTTTCATTAATTCATGGAATGAAGAATTATTAATAACGCTAAAATGAACCAGAGAATTCAAAAAACAATCAGACATGGCTGTGAAAACTCGTGACGTCAGTGTGCCAGCAATTTTGGTTGGTAATACCATAATAATAAGATTTGACAGGATATCTCAGAACATTCTAAGAACTTTCCAAGGTCGCATGATAGTGACATCATTTTAGTGCGGTAAGGTAAGAGCTAGGATTATGTGATATAATACTGAAGATCTTGTGGAAATATAGCTCAATCCACTGAATTAATAGCCCCTTTTGTGACGTTGTGACTAACGTCACCGCAGTCAAACTTCAATTTTGATTTGAATTTTGAAATTTCCATATCAGGGTGTCCCAAAATTGCTGGGACACAGAGCTACCACGTGTAGAGGAGGTCAAAATAAGTTGATTGGACCCAATTTATTTATGTGCCAAAATGTACCGTTTGTCCGTGAGAAGAACACATTTTTGTACGCTGTTCAGGAATAAGTGGAACGAATTTGATGAAATTTGGCAATAGTGTATTTCAGAGGATTACTTTCCTTTTGGTAATCTAAGAAACCTAAAAGAAATTGTAGAAGGGTTGAAACCACCCTCACCCCCTGACATTTTCTTCAGAACTTTTTTAAGGGTCATGATACGGTTCTAAAATTTTTTGAGCTTGAAGACTCATCAATTACCTTCATTTTATCACTATTGTAAAAATTTCGTATACCAAATAGTTTCGAAGAAAAAAAATGTTCTCTCAAATAATGCTACCAGATATTCCTATAGTACAAGTTTGATTAAATTGTGATATGAAACTTAGTTGGCAGTGGAAACGAAGGCAAGTCGTGATTTCGACAGGAAACAAAGTTATTGTCATTCAAGTTTGTTGTTGACGTTGTGAATGTTTCAATAAATTCTTCAATTTTGTTATTACCGCGGGTACCATTACCGACCATTTATTATTATTTAATTGTTGTTGTAATTTCAACTGCTATCAAATATGTATTTCTCTTATAAGTAGCAAACCGATATGATCTTAGTTCTTGGATTCTGTCAAAGTAACTGTCGCAGAAGTGCCCGCGTATACCAAGAGAGGTATCCAAACCGGAGAATTCCGAATCATAAAACTTTTGCCCAAATTGTTGTTGTTGAAACCAGTCAGAATTAACGCTGGGAGACCACGACAAAGACCTTATACGGAAGAAGCTGTTCTTGAAATAATCAATGACAATCCCGAGATAAGTACCAGATCTGTGCAGCGACAAAGAGGAATACCAAAAAACACTGTGAATAGGATCTGCAGAGAACAATCAATACATCCATTTCATATACAGTTTGTGCCAGAGTTATTACCACTTGACCACGGATCACGTTTAAATTTTTCACGGATTGTTCGGGAGCGCAGACTACTTGACAACAGATTTCATACTAATATTTTTTTTACTGATGAGTCTTGTTTTACACGTCGTGGCATGACGAACCTGCACAATGAGCATGTATATGCTGATGAAAACCCACATGCCATCAAAGCTAGACACTATCAACGAGAATTTAAAATAATTGTTTGGATCGGATTTATCGAAACATTTTTGGTTGGGCCGATCCGATTGCCAGATCGCCTTGATGGTGCTAGTTACCTTCACTTTCTTCAGGAAATTTTGCCAGATTTATTGAAGGACTTGCCCCTCAATGTTCGTCGAAACATGTTCTTCATGCACGACGGTGCACCACCTCATTTTGCACGTGCAGTAAGACAATACCTGAACGAACAATTTCCTGATAGATAGATGGATTGGTAGGGAACAAGAAGCATCTATTCAATGGCCTCCGCGGTCTCCAGATTTGAATCCGTGCGACTTCTTCATCTGGGGAGCGTTGAAAACAAAATTGTATGAAGTTCAAATTGATACTTCCGAACAGCTGTGGAACAGAATCCAAAATGCCGTTGACGCACTTCGAGACAACGACGATGTCCTGAGGAGGGTGCATTTCAATTTTTTACGTCGAATTGATATTTGTTTTAATGAAGGTGGGCGTCATATTGAACATTTATTATGAAAAAACGTTCTGCTTTTGTTTCCACTGCCAACTAAGTTTTATATCACAATTTGATTAAACATGTACTATAGGAATATCTGGTAGCATTATTTGAGAGAACATTTTTTTTCTTCGAAACTATTTGGTATACGAAATTTTTACAAGAGTGATAAAATGAAGGTAATTGATGAGTCTTCAAGCTCAAAAAATGTCAGAACCGTATCATGACCCTTAAAAAAGTTCTGAAGAAAACGTCAGGGGGTGAGGGTGGTGTCAACCCTTCTACAATTTCTTTTAGGTTTCTTAGATTACCAAAAGGAAAGTAATCCTCTGAAATACACTATTGCCAAATTTCATCAAATTCGTTCCACTTATTCCTGAACAGCGTACAAAAATGTGTTTTTTCAAGTGAACTTTGAACCCTTCTCACGGAAAAACGGTACATTTTGGCAAATAAATAAATTGGGTCCAATCAACTTATTTTGACCTCCTCTACACGTGGTAGCTCTGTGTCCCAGCAATTTTGGGACACCCTGTATATAGAGTATAAACTATAACTACATCAAAAATATATTATGTAAGAATCGGACCATAACCAAAAACCAAATTGAGTCTAACCTTCCTGCTTGTATATTTATATCCTCATCTCAGATGTGAAGTTATCCACTTTACATCAATAGTTTAGATCATCCTTCTGGGATATTTTTCCTTGACATGTTCATACTTGAAACGTTTCACTATCATATTAATGAGAATACGTGTCGTGCGATGCAGTATGATATATTCCGACATTTTATTAGTGACACTTGGCCAATGAATCGATAATATTAGTACCTACCAACATTTCAAACGTTGGTGAAAGTCCATCATCGCTCAGTGTGTCAAAAGTCGTGGATGTAACTTCGAGGTCTTGAAATGTGTCAACCTCGAAATATGTCGAACAGCACTTTATCAGAACTCGTTTGCCTATACAACTTTACTTTGGGACATATATCATTTCGTTAACAGATGACGATAGAAATCTGCAGCCGGCACTCCTACTAATAATTTATGTTTCCAGATAAACATGAAAAGGCCCATCGAAAAAAATAAATAAAAATCACACTTCTCTCGGGAAATAGCTCTTCCAAGCCAAATTCCAAACGACGCAAATCCCCATCAACACACTAAAAGTAACCATCGATACCCACCAGATCACTCTCTCTGTCCTCGTCACGCTTAGATTCCTGAGCACGTTGATGCCTACCAGCAGACCAGCCAGAGCACCGGCGAAATGGGCCGCATAACCTATGTGCTCATTGATGTCCAGCACGTATCGATTGTAGATGGCCGTGCCGATATCGGAGATGGCCACCAACAGGAAGAGAAGCAACTGGGCGATGGGGTATGACATTTCGTTCCAGTTCTGGAATACGAAGGAACCGTAGTTAAGTTTAGTTTATTGGTAAAGTATAACAGAAAGCGCTTAAACAAGTGAGGTACGTAGTTTTTGAAAGGTATCAGATTAGTATAGATGTAGTTTTCATTAGGTATTAGATTAGTATAGAGGTCAGATAATTTATACGACGCTATAAAAGCAGATGATATTTTATCATTTGCTCATGTAAGATGGAAGTAGAGGCCATGGCACCATATCATGAGCATATTTTTATATTGAAACTATCATTGGGCACCAAAGATGTGTATACGACGCTATGAAAGGTCAGAGAACTGGAGATTTTTCCCACAAACTACGTACTTAGCCCACTCGACTGTCTTGGTTTTTCCACACAAAATACGTACCTAGCCCACTCGACTGCCAATAGGGACTAAAAAAACAAAAACAAAAGAAAGTTAAAACAATGCCAACATATTTCTTCTTTGTGAGAAATCAAGACAGTCGAGTGAGCTAGGTACGTAGTTTGTGGGAAAAAAACAAGACAGTCGAGTGTGCTTTTTAACTTTCTTTTGTTTTTTGTTTTGTTTTCTATTGGCAAGTGATTATCTAGGAACTTGTAAATTCTTTAGTTTTTTCATCGTATCTTCCGAACTATTGAATTCAGAGAAAAATGTTATACGGATTTTTTGTAGATTCTATCAAAAGGAATAATCTCTTGGTTCCATAACATTTTCAGATATTTTCAGTTGTTTTCGAGATATTTGGAATTATCTGAGAATAAAATTTTCAACACTTTTATTCCATCTTCCAATCAACAAAAGGAAAAAATATTAAATGTTTCATTTGTTTTTCCATTTTCCGATGGATGCACGAAAAAATGGTGGATTGTTGCGTCATCAAAGAGGCATACGGTGCATTTTTCAAATTTGGATTTAGTCTATTGGTTCAGGAGATATGTCGTTTCAAAGCGAACCGTGTGTTTCGGAAAATCTCCTTGAAAAACCCACTTGGAATTTTCCGACCCTGCTCAATTTCAATAGGCTTCGTCTCTCCCTGATAGAGTTTTTTTTCACACAAAATGAAATTGATCGGACCACTTTTGCGATTTGTAGAGTGGTTACAAGAAACTTCCGGTGAAAAATCGAAAAAACCCGGAAAAACCACCTTGGATTTTTCCGATTCCCTTCATATTTTAATGAGATGATATTGTTTTGAGTACAATAAGATGGCGAAATTTCGAGTCGATATGTCAAAGGGTTCCGGAGATATATCGATTTATGATTACCACAGAGTACAGACAGACAGACAGACAGACCACACACAAAAACCAAAGTTGCTCAAAATTCGATGGGGATCATTTTCTCCAAAGTAACTATACCTCTATCTCGCTTAGTTTCCGAGATAGCATTTTTGGCGAGGCCGTAGTATACTCCACTATATAGGTATAGCGTCGTATAACAAGTCAATAGAGTGAAGAAAATTATAAAACTTGTTCTGGTTCCCACGAAAAGGGATATCCTGTAATGTTCAGAGAACATCGTGAGAACCCAGGGAAATAAGGTAGGAATTGGTGTTCTCCTCAAATTTCTGGAGATTATATGCCTTGGGGAACACCTCCCTTATCAATGTGTTCCAGAGCCTCGCTATTCGTTGGATGAACGAGTCTTTGGAAAGAGATGTTCTGCAGGCCTCGAAAGTGACCACGAAGGGGTGCGAAGCCTCAACTCGACGGGTTAATCTCGCGGGGACTGCCAAGGGAGGAACAATTGTTAATATTTCAGAAGAGCATCGTCCATGAAAATATCTATAAAATAGAGCCAGATCGCCAACTTTTCTACAGTGTTCCAGAGAAGTGAGCGAGTTTGTGAGCGAGGCATCACCCACGAGACGAATTGCCCATTTTTGGGCAGAATCCAACAGTTTCGGGGTATGTTTGGGTGCTGCACTCCAAATATGGGAACAGATTCCAAGACAGGTCGGATATGTGCCTTATAGATCATAAGCAGCTGACTGGAAGTGAAATAGCTCCTGGCCCGAAACAGAAAACCAAGTTTTTGGGATGCACTTTTAGCAATTGATCTCACGTGATTTTCCCAAGAAAGGTTATTGCTGATAGTAATACCAAGCATCAAAATGGATGTCTTCAAAGGTATGGTTACTCCTGACAAGCTTATGTTGGGCCAATAATTCATTATCAGTCCACTCGCCCATCAATTTTAAAATTACCGCTTACCATAATGATGGACGCTATATGGGCAGTAACCAGCGCGTAAACGCCTCCGCTGGCCCCAGCTAGTTTCACCGTGGGATCGACGATGGAGGTGCCCAACGAGCCGGCCAACACTCCGGCCGAGTACACCAAGAGCACTCGCCACCATTTGTGCACCATCTCCAGCGGGATGCCGAGCAGTACCTGCACCAGCAGGTTGATGAGCAGATGGAAAATCCTGGGGAAATATTATTTTTTGTTTCTGTGATAACTTCTATAGGCCCGTTATTCACTTTCTGGGATGGGAGTAGAACGACGGACTCGCGTCAAGAAAACGAGCGTACCAGTGCGTCCCCAAAAGGTGTTTACAGAAACTCACCACATATTTCTCAGACAAAAACAATTAGATACAAGCAGCGTTGCCAACCGTACCATAATTATGGTAACCGTACCATAATTTCGCCTTGTATACTATGTACCATAATGGTACGCCTTTTTGTACCATAATTTGGGCATAAAGATCAATGAGTATATTTGCTATTCTATTTTCGCCAATTTTTGTTTTCATTGATACAAGACATTCGCCAACTTTGCTGATTTTAAAAAGTTTTTCACAAAACATATACAGGGTGTTTCAAAAAAACATGACACCCTTACTAGGATAGGTAGAACACTGTAAAATAAGTTGGGTTTGCCCAGTAAGAAAATTTCGTAACGGCATCTGTTATCAAGATACAAGGTGTTGAAAAACTGATTTTTTTACACATTTTTCAAGATTATGTCGAAACTACTGGCAACATTGTGATGCAATTTTGTATGGATTTTTCTTGGAATCTGACACATCGCATGCATTTGTTTTTATACCTGACTCCCATAGAGGGCGCTAGTTACATGGTTCGTATCGAGTAAGTTTGAACATAACTTTTTTGAGGTTAGATTTTTCAATCCAAATTTGATGTAAACTTGAACATCATTCAATTTCACACCAAAAAGGTACTCCTGGTAAAATTCGATACTGTGTTCCGTTTTCGGAATATTTCGATTTGAAAATGATGAAGTAATAACTGTTGCTGATGGTATAAAGCTATGTATTAGAGTGAGTATTATGAAAAATTATCACCTTTTTATTGAAAATCGAAAACAACAATACATTTCTGATGCTAAACTCAATGATTTAACAATGAATCACAATAATAACATCGAAACAGATTTGACTAAGAACATGGATTACACAGTTTTGTTGTATCTTGAGCAGAAAGTATATGCTACATAGGTAAATTCACGTTTAGAGTTGTAAGCCATAATTGAACATCACTTAAATGACCTATAACAGCTGATCCTCAACTGTTTTGAAGGAAAAAACATTCTTAAGAAAAGAATGTAGAATCGTGAATTCTTCGAAACGTAGGACATTTTGAACACTTACTCTAACCAATTCAATATTTTATGATTCTAGTCAAATAAGTATCTCTTAACTTTGTACTCATGATTCTTTGCTCCATCGATAACTTCAGGACAAGAATAATTTTATTGTTTTTGAATATGAATAAATAGGTAATTGAACTCAATAAAATTCATTTTATACCAGCATCATTACTACTCCATTATTTTCAAATCGAAATATTCCGAAAACGGAACATAGTATCGAATTTCACCAAGAGTACTTTTTGGTGTAAAATTGAATGATGTTCAAGCTCATATCATATTTGGATTGAAAAATCTAACCTAAAAAAAGTTATGTTCTAAACTACTCGGTACGAACCGTGTAACTAGCGCCCTCTATGAGGGTCAGATATAAAAACAGATTCCTGCGATGTGTCAGATTCCAAGAAACATCCATACAAAATTTCATCACAATGGTGCCAGTAGTTTCGACATAATCGTGAAAAATGTGTAAAAAAATCATTTTTTCAACACCTTGTATCATGAAAACGGATGCCGTTACGACATTTTTTCACTGAGCAAACCCAACTTATTTTGCAATGTTCTACCTACCCTAGCAAGGGGGTCAGGTTTTTTTTGAAACACCCTGTATACTACTTGAATCTGTAATTACGTTTGATTCACCTGTGATCTCACATGTCATGTTACTACAATATTTCAACTCGAACTTGACAACGAGAATAGAAAAAAAAATGGAATGCTTGTTAAGTTATGCTGTTATTTTTCATTCGTTTTGGAAAAAATAATTCAAAATTCCCAATACGAGCCAAAGTGTTAATAATGTCGAAAAACATAGCCAATTTATGACTTCGCCTTTGCGCGTACCATAATTTCAGATATCAAGCTGTTGGTACCATAATCGTGAATCATAAGGTTGGCAACGCTGGATACAAGCAATCTTATCTCAGTACAAAGTTGTCTGATTTGGGTGCTAGAAGCCTTTGAAGTTACAATTGTTCAGATTATTTTTGCTTCATATCTTTGAAACGCCTCATGAAATTCTACTAAAATTTGGTATGTCGGCATAGCTTAATTGTACAATCAAACCCATATCATGATTATGATAAATATAATTCCGATGGCGGAGCACTTTTTTTTTATCGCTTGGAGCGCACGAAAGGGAATCCCTATAATGTTCAAAGAACATCGTGCGTTCCTAGAGAGGATAGGGACAAGAGGTAGGTATTGGATTTTTTTTTGAACTTTTGGAGATTATATGTTGTTGGGAATACTTCCACAGGCAATGAATTCCAGATCCTAGCCGTTCTATGGATGAAGGAGTCTTGATAAAGTGCTGTTCGACATCTTTCGAGGTTGACAACGAAAGGATGTGCTGACTGGGCTTGTCTAGTTCGTCTGATTGGTATTGCTAGTGAAGGGATGATAGCAGAGATTTCCGAAGAACATTTCCCGTGGAAGTATCGATAGAAAAGTGAAAGGTCGCCGACCTTTCTACGGTGTTCCAATGATGTCAAAGAGTGAGTGAGTGTGGCGTCACCCACCAGGCGAATGGCTCTTCTCTGGATGGAATCTAAGAGCATCAGCGTATGTTTTGGTGCTGAACCCCATATGTGGGAACAGTATTCTAGAACAGGCCGTATCTGCGCTTTGTAGATCATGATTGATTTTTCCAGTAAATTACGTCTAAAACTTCTACGCCAATGGAAAGAAAGAGGTTAGAATATTAAATTTGGATTGTGTAACTTGTTTACTACAACAAATTTTTAGGGATTCAACGCATCAGTCAACACCAAAACGATCAACAGATATTAAATAAAAATTGTTCAAAATGTTTATAATCTTCACGTATACAAAGAAATATACGAGGAAAAGAATGGATACAAGCACACTCACCTCAGTACATCTCTCATTCTGGTCGCTAGACCGCTCTGGCTTACACAGTGCAAAAAAAAACATAGCTGATAGCACATTTCAATTTATTTCTTCGAATACGTATGTATTTCATTCTTATACCTGGAAATAATGAAAATTTCGAACAATGTTCATGAAATATCTGTTAATTGTTTTGGTGCCTTGAATAATTAAAATTTTAATTTTGTCGAAACCATGAGAGTATTAGAATTTCATCAAGAATACCTTTCTTGTAGTTTACAAGTTAATCAATCCAAATTCATAATTAGAACCCCTCTCTTTCCATTGGCGTAGAAGTTATAGATGTTTATTTACTGAAAAAATCAAGGTCTACGCCCATGGAATGGTATTCATCAAAAGCACGATATGTGTTTTATTGCCCAATAAAGCTATGCCAACAATCCAAATTTGAGCAAAATGTGCTGAGCCGTTTGAAAGTTATGAGGCAAATACGAATTGAAAATTGTTCCTTCATAGCCGCATAGTGCCCAAACTAACCAACTTTGTACTGAGGTAAGTTTGCTTGTATCAAATTGTTTTGAACTGAGGAATATGTAGTAAGTTTTTGCAAAGACCTTTTAGGGACACCCTGTATATGTCTGGTTGATATGAGACGGCCGCTGCACCTGACCCTTCAGTATTCCAATGGACATTGAGGCAGAGACAGTATAGTCGTCAGCTCTGACCTGACATGCATCGGAGTCACGGATTGTCTAATCATATTGTGTTCTCGCTCGGATTACACAGAATTTCTATACAACATTCACATTATTTATAATACAGAGGGTGGGTATTAAATACTTCTTAACGAGATGCAATTTGGAATAATTCATTCTTGAAATGTCACAATCAATATATTTAGTTCTAGCTCATCATTTTGGCGAATACGTGAAAATATTACATAAAATTAATAATTCTTCAGTCAGATTTCCCCCGTATTGTACAGAAGATATTAGAAATACTGACCAGCCATAGAAGTTATCACTTCCGAAGGGTGGTCCTACGCACAGATTTTTTAAATTCTACACCACTCAACAGATCTACATCCAATTATAGAGGAGGAATAATAGCTACATCGCATATAATAAGTAGTCATTAATGTATTTAGTGCGTGAAATAGGCTTTTATGGACCATAGTGTGTAGGTAAGTATTGATACGACTAGGTCCATCTTTGAAAACAACCGAGAAACCTGGCAATCTCAACAAAAATGGAATGCAATGTACAACTAAAAATGGACGCAGGATGTATCTCTTGAACCATTTGATGGAATTGGCCAACATCAATATCTAAAAATTATTTTCAAATTTCCAGGAAGGCCGCTCGAAGGAGAAATTACATTGGCCAGGTTTTTATGAACATTTTATATATTTGACATGTCAAAAACATTCTTTTCATATCTTTTCAATCACTGCCATTAACAGATTTGCTCTTGAAATTGAATAGGGAGGGAAGGATGGAGACCACTATGAAAAAACTCTTATAATTATAAATAAATGCAAAAAGCTCAAAGTCATTTCCACACAGTGTTCATAAAATGAACAACGATGGTAGATTTCGGGAGAAAAACAACTACTTCCCTGGCTAATGCCACACAGGGCATTGAATTACATCCTCCGGAAATCTATGCATCGACTCGTATAAACGAATACTGATACAAGTGATTCTTTCCTGAATGCCTAATGATTTCGATTAAACCAGGCCGCTAGACAACCACAGACCGGTTTCGAGCTCTTTGACTCTCATCAGTGCAGTGTAGTCTCCAGCCAGCAGTCCCAAGACCGCCGACTCAGCGAAGCCTAGCCAAACAAAAATCAAGTTGGCATTATGTTCACTCCGAGGCGTCTTTCATCTACAAAATGAAAGTAACGCCATCTGAGTAGAACAGAGGAAAGAATAACCCCAAAACTGAAACTCCCATAGGGGAGTGGCTGGTTGCCCGACTGGCGTAATTTCAACTACGAGTCGATGCATAGATTTCGGGAGGATGTAATTCAATGTCCTGCGTGGCATTAGCCAGGGAAGTAGTTGTTTTTCTACCGAAATCTACCATTGTTGTTCATTTTATGGACACTGTGTGGAAATGACTTTGAGCTTTTTGCATTCATTCAACATTTCATTCCACTTTGAGCATTGTGGCTATTTTGTAGTTGAAATCACGAGAAGAAAAATGATGAGTGAACGAGGAGAAAAATGATGAGTGAACGAGGAGAAAAATGATGAGTGAACGAGGAGAAAAATGATGAGTGAACGAGGAGAAAAATGATGAGTGAACGAGGAGAAAAATGATGAGTGAACGAGGAGAAAAATGATGAGTGAACGAGGAGAAAAATGATGAGTGAACGAGGAGAAAAATGATGAGTGGACGAGGAGAAAAATGATGAGAACGAGGAGTTATACCAGTACAAGTCAGATTGGTGAGGTTATGTGATAATCTTGCATTGTATCTCACCCCAAAGAACTGTATGCTAAGCAAGGCTGTCAAACTACATTCAAACCACTGACTCTCACTTGAACAAAATGTCATAGCCATGTTATATTCTGGAAGAAGGTATTCTACTACTCACCCTATATGGACAAACATGTAGGTTATATATCTCCAGACTTCTCTTCGCTTGCTAGGTTCATAAATAAATACTATAGCAGCAGGACCTGTCGCAGACCTAGTTGAGTCATGTTCTGTCGCCTCGTCAACACAGAAAATTATTACCTGAATGAGTGATAGAATAATCATCCCGACTGCCGGGGGATAGCACGAATATTCTTCTTCGTAAAGTCCATCAGTAACAGTTCTCGACGGGTGTTGTCTTCGTGGAATGATCCAATTTATGTACCTAAAAAATAATCAATCGAGCAATTAGTTTCTAAATTTCATTCCAAAGATTGTAAAATCATTGTATGCCATAGAAAGGTGCATTCAGTTCAACCACGACAGGAAATACCGGAACTAGGAAACCGGTATTCTCTTCGACAGCCAAGCAGCCATCAAGGTGTTGAGCTTCAACATCATCAAATATGGTTTGGGAATACCTAGACAAACTCAACAACCTAGGCAGGAACAGAAAGGTGATCCTCCTCTGGGGGCCGGGGCACATTGGAGTGAAGGGAAATGAACAAGCAGACATTCTGGCACGAAAAGGAGCATCAACGAAAATTCTTATTTCCAAGAAGAACTTAATAAAGCTGAGGAAGCAATGAGAGCAACACACTGGCGAAGACTTCCAGGACTGCGGCAGGCCAAAGATCTCCTCGGAAATTTCAACCGAGCAAGATCGAAGACACTGATCAATCTCACCAAAATTAGTCCCAAAGCCATAACGGGATTTCTAACGGGGTGTTGTAGACTCAAAGAAAACCTGAGGAAGCTTGGCTTAGAGGAGGACAGCACCTGCAGATTCTGCGGGGAATATCCAGAAACACCCCATCACATCTTTCTGGAATGTTTTGCTGTGCATTACCAAAGATCGAATATACTGGGAGCATACCAGCTGACCGTGGAAGAAATACCAAGAACAGATCCCCTCAAAATCCTCAGATTCATAAAATAATTGAAGCTTGAGGGGCTGCTATAAACAAGGAGACCTTGAGATAGCAGAAGATGGGGCCACGATTTTGTGGCACAGTAAAACAGAAGAAGATCTGAAGAATAACATATCTGTCGATGTAAAAAAGATGTTATGGTGTGACTCGAATCTTCTATCTTTCAATATAAATAAAACAAATATAGTTACTTTCAGATGCTCACTCGATAATTTTCCCCTTGATAACGGAATCATTGAAAATACAGACTGTACCAAATTCTTGGGAGTCGTCATAGACAAAAAATTAAAATTTGATAGGCATGTCGAGCAGCTCAAAAGTAAAATATCCTCTGGATGCTATGCAGTGAGGGTAATTTCAAAAGAGCTTGGATCCCAGACTGCTAAAACAGCATATTATGCCTTAATTGAGTCACATTTAAGGTACGGGATACCTTTATGGGGAGTGTGTAACCTAGACCTACTTGAAACTGTGCAGGTGCTTCAAAAAAGAGCAATTCGATATATTTACAAAGCCAAACCTCACGACTCATGTAGGCCATTGTTCAAAGAAAATTTTGACAGTGATATCTTTGTTTATATTAGAGACCGTATGCTTGGTGAGGAAACACTTCACCAAATCAAATTTGACAGAGCTCAGTCCAATTATTCCACACGCCACAGCATTAATAGTTTGAAACTGCCGATACCCAGCACGTCTTTAGTGAGAGATTCCTTGTATTACAATGGTGTTGAAATTTATAACCACTTGCCAAACCATGTTAGGGGTGCATTAATAGATATTGAAATATTCAGGAAAACTGTCGAAGAACTGCTGAAGTTCAGACCATATTACAGCCTTAAAGAATTCTACGATGACACGATCTGACCTAATATATGGGTATGCTGATTAGAATTCTTGTGATTACTTCATTCTGATTAGGTTTGCTTACATTACTCATGATTGTGATTGTTTTTATACCTATGTATGTTAGTATTTTCATATTTCGACAAAAAAATATTTATTCAATGTTTTATTTGATGTTTTAGTATTGTGATTTTCATATTATAGTTGTAAATTTATATTTATTTTATATATACTCTTTACTGACTTCATGCTTTGTCGACAAGAAGAAATTCTTTCATGACAATAAAGTATATTTATTATTATTAATAGATTTAATCAGGTCCCAGCACATCTGTTACCATCCACAATTACCATTTGCCTCATTTTTTGGCATCCATTTCACCCATCTTTCACCCTCTTATCAATTTTATTCAAATTCCAACTTAGAGCTTGAGAAACAATGTTTGGAAGATTTTTTTTTTAAACAGATGTAGAATAGCTTCCTGAATACGATCAGATAGTTGTCTGATTTTGTAGCATCCATTTCACCCCTCTTTCACCTTCTTATCAATTCAATTCAAATTCCAACTTAGAGCTTTAGAAACAATTTTTCGAAGATTTTTTTCTTGAAACAGATGTAAAATAGCTTCCTGAATACGTTCAGATAGTTGTCTGATTTTGTAGCAACCATTTCACCCATCTTTCACCCTCTTATCAATTCAATTCAAATTCCAACTTAAAGCTTAAGAAACAATTTTTTGAAGATTTTCTTCTTGAAACAGAAGCTGAATACAATCAGATAATTGTCTGATTTTGTGGCATCCATTTCCCCCCTCTTTCACCCTCTTATCAATTCAATTCAAATTCCAACTTAGAGCTTTATAAACAATTTTTGGAAGATTTTTTTCTTGAAACACATGTAAAATAGCTTCCTGAATACGATCAGATAGTTGTCTGATTTCGTAGCATCCATTCCACTCCTCTCTCACCCTATTATCAATTTAACTCAAATTCCAACTTATAGCTTCAGGAAAAATTCTTGGAAGATTATTTTCTTGAAACAGATGTAAAATAGCTTTTTGATTAGGATCAGATAGTTCTCTGATTTTGTAGCATCCGTTTCACCCCTATTTCAACCTAAACTACTCAACACTAATTTCGTCGCACACCAAAATGTCGCCCCTGTTATAATGTGAATAACTTTTTTCAGTTCACAACAATTTGAATTTGGTTCACACTGTTCGATAGCCCAGTCCTTCAGCTATAATCTCGTACTTCATTGAGACATAAGGGTATTCACATGAAATCTCTACATGGTGTTTTCCGACACTGTGCAAAATTTCGGAATATTCAAAAGGCTCTCAAATGGTGAAAAAAATTTTTTTCCTCAACTTCGACAACAGAGGCATGAAGATGATCTCATTACCTCAAGATATTTCGCGAATTAACTTCCTATCTCTCTTATTTACAGAGTGATCTCAAAAAATCAACTTTTTGGTTTTTCAGCCATAACTTTTTTCCACGTCAACCGATTTTAAAAATCTTAGGCTCATTTTGAAGATGAAACTTCAGATGAAGAGATCTGAATATCAGAATTGACTCAAGATGGCTATCAGAGATCTAGAGTTTTCTTGAAAGTGACCCAAATCTGGAACGCCCTCAGAATCTCGGTTGGGAGGAGAATTGAATGAAAATCAACTTGTTCTCGGAAAAACAATTCATTCTGGATGCGTCCATATTTTCCTCGCTCTCAGTAGTCGAGAATTGTGCGTGAGAAAACACAATTGAAACATGTTCTTGCAAAAATATCAGACCGTTTCTCCTCTGTAATGCATGGCCCGTAACCAACGTTACAAGAATCACAATGGACTGACAAACCCGACTAGCTAAGGCTCATCATGAATGGTGTACCAACAACCCTATGCGGTCTCGCATTGTCATCAACGAGAACAAAGTTGTCACCCACATTCGCGTTAGATGCGGAATCGAAACTATCGAAATCTGTTTATGATTCGAAAACGACCTCTAACCTGACTTGTCAGTCACTTACTCTGATTCTTGTAACGTAGGTTACGGGCCATGCATTACAGAGGAGAAATGGTCTGATGTTTCTGCAAGAACATGTTTCAATTGTGTTTTCTCACGCACATTCTTGACTACTGAGAGCGAGGAAAATATGGACGCATCCAGAATGAATTGTTCTTCCGAGAACACGTTGATTTTCATTCAATTCTCCTCCCAACCGAGATTCGGAGGGCGTTCCAGATTTGGGTCACTTTCAAGAAAACTCTAGATCTTTGATAGCCATCTTGAGTCAATTATGATATTCAGATCTCTTCATCTAAAGTTTTATCTTCAAAATGAGCCTAAGATTTCTAAAATCGGTTGACGTGGAAAAAAGTTATGGCTGCAAAACCAAAAAGTTGATTTTTTGAGATCACTCTGTAAATAAGAGAGATAGGAAGTTGATTCGCGAAACATCTCGGGGTAATGAGATCATCTTCATGCCTTTGTTGTCGAAGTTGAGGAAAAAAATGTTTTCACCATTTGAGAGCCTTTTGAATATTCCGAAATTTTGCACAGTGTCGGAAAACACCATGTAGAGATTTTATGTGAATACCCTTATGTTTCAATGAAGTACGAGATTATAGCTGAAGGACTGGACTATCGAACAGTGTGAACCAAATTCAAATTGTTTCAAACTGAATAAAGTTATTCACATTATAACAGGGGCGACATTTTGGTGTGCGACGAAATTAGTGTTGAGTAGTTTATTATCAATTTAACTCAAATTCCAACTTAGAGCTTCAGAAAGAATTTCTGGAAGATTTTTTTGTTGAAACAGATGTAAAATAGCTTGCTGAATACGATCAGATAGTTGTCTTATTTTGTGGCATCTATTTCCCCCCTCTTTCACCCTCTTATCAATTTAATTCAAATTCCAACTTAAAGCTTAAGAAACAATTTTTGGAAGATTTTCTTCTTGAAACAGATGTAAAATAGCTTGCCGAATACGATCAGATAGTTGTCTTATTTTGTGTCATCTATTTCCCCCCCTCTCTTCACTCTTATCAATTTAATTCAAATTCCAACCTAAAGCTTAAGAAACAATTTTTGGAAGATTTTCTTCTTGAAACAGATGTAAAATAGCTTGCTGAATACGATCAGATAGTTGTCTTATTTTGTGGCATCTATTTCCCCTCTCTTTCACCCTCTTATCAATTCAATTCAAATTCCAACTTAGAGCTTTAGGAACAATTTTCGGAAGCTTTTTTTCTTGAAACAGATGTGAAATAGCTTCCTGAATATGATCAGATAGTTGTCTGATTTCGTAGCATCCATTCCACCTGAGATTCCACCCCTCTCTCACCCTCTTATCAATTTAATTCAAATTCCAACTTAAAGCTTCAGGAAGAATTTTTGGAAGATTTTTTTGTTGAAACAGATGTAAAATAGCTTTTTGAATACAATCAGATAGTTGTCTAAAATTAATAGATGTGTCTCATGTTGAAATTGGTGAATGGCTTTGCTAGCTCCTTTAGTATCCATAACCTCATCCATAACTACATCACCTCACATTGCATAAAGAAAATTATGTTATTCTTCCATTAAAATTTTGTGCTGCTTCTTATTGATGTGCCAACTTTCTGGGGATTTGTTGTGGTTACTGCCCATAGTGTACTAAAGAAATGTATTCATGTAATGAAGTATGTTTTAGAATATTTTATTGTCTTCCAATATTATCTTGTACCATACATATGGTGTATAGAGGGACATTGGGACAGTCCCACTATACATATACCATCATCATTGGTTTTTTCTAGTAGTTGTTGAGTTGAGGTATTCGTTTTGAAATATCTATCTTGATATTGAATTTTGCAGCTGTGTTCAAATAAATATGTTCATAGCAGTAATGAATGGGTCACCTTTTATCCCTCTAGTTACCATGGGGTGGTTCATAAAGGGGTACATGGTGTATACAGGGACATGTTTTTTTTCAATAATAAATGGTCAGACTAATTCATTTTCATAACATGATCATGATACTAACTCAAATCTTGTGTAGAAGTCTCAAAACTCCAAGTTGAAAAATTAATTCATCAGAAGAGGAATGAAAAAATCATTCCTGTACCTATACACCACCATCCCCTACATTGATTTTTCATAACCTCCAGGGAGAAACAAAAATCTCGATAAAGGAAACTTCATCATTGAATTGCTCCTTGAATAATTGATGACATAATTTGTCAAGTCCTTAAATAATTTCAGTTAACTATACAGCATTTAACCTCAGCAGCAACATTGTCGATGCACTGAAATTCACTAACTAGCTGTTCACAATGCAGAGGTATTGTTGGTTCAAATCCAGCATAGCTGAGCACTTTTCTTAAAAACATGTGATTCATAGTTATAATCCTGGCAGCACCTCAATGCCCTAGAAGTGGTTCAGATTCCACTATAAGCTATAGGTCCCACTCTAGCTTACCCAGCACATGTTTCAACTTCTGGAGAGTTGGTTCCCAACTTTGAAGTAGATATAAACAAATTTCACAGAAAATGTCTCCTTCTGCAAGAGAACAGGACAGAAAAAACACATTGAGGTAGATTATACCTCAGATTATACACACCATATATAATAATAATAATAATAATAATAATAATAATAATAATAATAATAATAAATGCTTTTATTGTAGGTACAGCAATTAGCTTATATCCTAACAAAAGGCAGGATTCAATGCCTGCACATGATTGCTCATGGCAGGAATTGCTCTTCCATCCAACCCCAAACATCCTGGCCACCATGCATAATATTATATACATAACAGGGTGTTTCCAAATTCAGTACCAAGATTAGAAAGCTTATTTTTCAGGTCAAAATAAGATTATTTTTTTCCTATAACCTACAGTGCATTAAAGTTTCAAGATTTTTTATTTTCCAGCACCTTTGATAAAAAGTCATGGTTCATCAGATTTTTCTAAGGAGATGAGTGTTTGAAGGAAGATCTAGAGTTTATAGGTACCTATTTATATAGTGGCCAAAAACATATTGCAGATCAGGATTATTGATCATTTCGTGGAATTCCTCGAAATTTAGCTGTTGATCTTCATTATAGTCATGCAATTTGAGGATTTTTCTCACACAATACTGGGGAATGTCTTCTTCATACTCCCGACTTTCTATGAGTTCTATCAATTCATTCAAACTAATTAACCCATCTTTATTCCTATCATACTGAAAGTTGAAAAATGTTAGAGTAATTTCAGATGCCTCTCAGGCTAGCAGTCGTACATACCTTATTGAAAATAGTTCTGTAGAAGTCTTTAGATTTCAAAGGAATTTGAGTTGTTTCAGTCATGATGATGATGTTCAGGGGTTGTATGTTGTGTGTGTTATTATTTATGAATTAGTTATTAACTGAGATATTACTTATAATAACAACATTACTAGTGAGTTACTAAATTATTATTTTTATTTTTGTTGTCAAAGCAAAGACTGGCAAAGAGGTTAAAGTTGAGGTTAGGATCAACTGTCAAATGTTAGGAAGCATAGAATTCATAGAACAAATAGAACATGAAACATGTGTTTAAATCACAGTTCCTAAATGAACAAGATTGATCGATAAAACTAAGATGCCGTCAACTTATAAACACCTCAGATAAAACAAATAGCCTGAACACATTCAAAAAATATTATAGGCCTCCTTCATAAACTAGGCAAAAAAAGAGGGGAGAGCAGAGGGCAATCAACGATTTGTTGAATTCCAGCGCTCTCAGTTCAGTTACAATTTGGCAATCATTCCAGTGTTTAGTCTAATTATTATCATTGTCATTTCTGTCACGTTCTGTACTGTTTTGTGCTCTGACTGCTCTGTGTATCTCTGTGCATCACAAAAATAACATGTCATTCGATTGCAAAGAAAGGGGATTACCCGAATTATTTAATAAATTTCAATTTCATATTCCTCTGGATTTCATCTATCACAGTGGTACTTTTTCACGTCGTCAATTTACAATATTTATTCATATTATTTCATGATTTAAGTTATGTTCTCTAAACAAATGGTATCTCATTACCATGTGATATTCTATTTATAAAAGTATATTATATTCGCCGTTCTGTTTGTGAGTGTGATGTTCAGAAAAATTATCCCATAATCAATTTTTTCCAGCTATGCTCAGAAGAAATGGAACTCAATGAATGCCTCATTGAATATCCATACCACTCAGAAACTTTATATTGTACTGACTCTGAAGTTGCAGACAATAAAAAATACTTTCTTCTTGGCTTCAAAGACTCCATACCCGTTATTTGTAACAATATGCTAGAAGAAAAGGTAAGAACACCTTTAAGTATGAAGAATAAAGTCTTGAAGGTTGAGGTTGATCCTCAGACTGGAGATAAATTCATCAATCTAAATGGAAGAAAAATCAAGATACCAGAATCTAAAACTCCTGTGATTCCCAAAACAGAACAGAACATTCACAATATGTCTGCTGGCCCACAACCTATTAAGTTCAAAATAATTAGAGGATTTCCTCTTCCCAAATCACACTACACCTCTCTGATGTTGGACAAAACAAATGTGGATTCTGCAACTATATCAGTAAATAAGATAATGAACCTAAACAGCTTATCACAAAAATCCTTGATAATAAGTAGTGAAGTACACAGTGTGAAATCCCCAGATAGTAGTAATATGACTATCAAACCATACACACAAACAAGTATGTGTGAAGCAGATAGCTATAGCTATTTAGGAAAACAAATTTCCTGTAGATCAAGCAGTACTATTACTAGTGATGATCAACATGTAGGAGCCTTGGATTTGACAAATTATTCAGTGAAACTTGATAATACTAATGATGGTGAATCAGCATCAAGTGATAAATCTTGCCAAACAGACATCAGCTGGTACAGTAATAATGTCAATGCCAGAAACAATGTTGCTGAATGTGGTGTGCAAACAGAGGATCCTGGAGAAGAAATCATTGATGACTTGGCATTTTTGTCTCCAGATGTAGACATAGAATACCTCTTGAATGATCTTGAACATGCACCAATGAAACATATTTTACCAAAAAAGATCTTGAATTGTAGTCCATTATATACTCCTCCAGAGAGTCTCTTTGAGTTGGAATCATCATGCCAAAATTCCCAGAAAAATATTGATTGTAAAACAAGTCCTCAATCACATAGTACTGCTAACAATTTTTTCCATGAGTTGAGGACTGCTCTTATACCAGACGATAAAGGCAACATGTAAGTACTTAGTTATCATATTACTGATATTTTTTTCAAAAGTAATCCCCAGAACTTTGGTTCCTAATGCTAAGTTGTCTTTTCTTTGTTCTCGGCAATAAAATAAACAGTGAAAAACAAACCTCCAATAATTTTAAAATATAGGTAGGGTTGAGGGTAATCTGAGGGGTAATCATCTTTATTTAAAATATAGGTAACTTTATCAAGCTAATATCATCCAATGATCCAATGCTCACTATATTTTCAACAGTTAATGACAGTCATTGCTATGGTGAATTCAGTTACTTATATTGACAGTATAACTGAGTTATACTGTGACATTCCATCTTGTTGAATTTCAATTGGTTCTACTAAAGTGAAGCACAGCAATACTATACTATTTGTGAAATACATGAAAATTCCAGTGAATTACTTTTAGTTTTCATAGTCAATATCATCAAGAGATAGAGGTTTGAGTTAGGTATAGAGGGAATAATCGTCAAACTCAGTTTTATTTCATATACAGGGTGTTTCATTGGGAAAGGTAAATAATTCAACTGTGGATAGGGGTCACTGGGGTAATTTCAAAAAACCCATGGTTGATGGGTTTTCGACTTCTTATAACCAAGATACAGGATGTTTCATCAATTTTGTCCATATCTTCATTGTCTCATAACTTTCCAACCAACCTATATATATTTTTTAAAATTGGTAAACTTGCTCAATTTATCCTGTGGAATTGATTGAGGCAACAACAAAAGATGAAATCCAGGTCCGGCTTCACTTGAAATTCACAAATTCTTTCTGCCAGAAAACAACACCCTATACATTCGAATTTCTCATTTTTTTTGCCATATCTGAAAAGAACATCAAAATTTCTATTCGACGATGTGCTTTTTATTCGTGCACAGACGATTTTAACTATTCATATTATGTGCTCAAAATATTATTTTTGCTCATTTTGGGGTACAAAATTGGAATCAGACGAGATTTATTAATTTTATTACATCCTATTCAGTATACGTGAGTATTACATTCAGAAGGAGTATTTCATTTCGTTCTTTGTTCCAGACATAGTTGCAGGTCCGTCATCAAAACTATACAGGGCTTTTCACGATAAGCGTTAATTAGATGTTTCTGGCAAACCACGCAACGTATAAATCTAAAAATTTGGAGGTATGTATAAATAAACATGATCTACACGTCTGAATTATTTGAAACAATCCGGCGTTGCCGCTTCTACTCGAAAGTAGCAGTAACTTTGATTTTTCAAATGGGACACCCTGGATGCTTCCTGAAGAGCTGATATTCAATCGATTCACAAAGTTCGGGGTCTAGTGGGACTAATAACTGAGATATTTAGAGTTAGAAAAATCGAGATGTTCCAATTTTAAAATTATTTTGCGAAAATATGTATTATTGATCAAAACGGCTTTTATCTCACTATCTAAACTTTGTATCTGACATTTAACGAATACAAATACAGGATGGTTAATAATTCAGATTTCTGCGCCACCCTGTAGCTGTTTCAATTGAATATTGAATGGAAAGTTGAGATAGGGACATTGAAGCCGTTTTGACCATGCAATAATAAATAGTTTCAACACAAAACATTTCTATAGTTAAAACATCTTTCCACATCCTATATCTCAGTTATCAGTCCCGCTAGACCTTGAATGTTTTGATTCGATGGATTCTGCTGTTCAGCAAGAATCCAAGGATGTAATGAAATACAGGGTGTCCCATTTGAAAAATCGAAGTTGCTGCTACTTTCTAGTAGAAGCGGCAACGCCGGATTGTTTCAAATATTTCAGACGTGTAGATCATGTTAATTTATACATACCTTCGAATTTTTAGATTTATACGTTGCCTGGTTTGCCAGAAACATCTAATTAACGCTTATCGTGAAAAGCCCTGTATAGTTTTGATGACGGACCTGCAACTAATAAGTCTGGAACAAAGAACGATATGAAATACTCCTTCTAAATGTAATACTCACGTATACTGAATAGGATGTAATAAAATTAATAAATCTCGTCTGATTCCAATTTTGTACCTCAAAATGAGCAAAAATAATATTTTGAGCACATAATATGAATAGTTAAAATCGTCTGTGCACGAATAAAAAGCACATCGTTGAATTGAAATTTTGATGTTCTCTTTAGATATGGCAAAAAAAATGAGAAATTCGAATGTATAGGGTGTTGTTTTCTGGCAGAAAGAATTTGTGAATTTTAAGTGAAGCCGGACCTGTATTTTATTTTATGTTGTTACCTCAATCAATTCCACAGGATAGATTGAGCAAGTGTACCAATTTTTTAAAATATATACAGGTTGGTTGGAAAGTTATGAGACAATGAAGATATGGACAAAATTGATGAAACATCCTGTATCTCGGTTATAAGAAGTCGAAGACCCATCAATCATGGGTTTTTTGAAATCACCCCCCTGACCCCTATCCACAGTTGAATTATTTACCTTTCCCAATGAAACACCCTGTATGGTGTCAAAAAAATAATAGTATTCTCAGGAATACTTCCTTTAAATTTTTTGTACTTATGTTACCCCCCTATATTTTTTTACCATAATTAACATGGAATTCCCCAATTCTACATATTGAAAAGCCTATAACTGTTTTCATAATCATATTTTTCATGGTTCTCCAATTCCCAATGATGAGTTATAATTTTGAGTAACTCTGTATACAGAGCCGTATACATAATGTAAAGAGTAAAGTGGGAAAAATTGTAAAATTCCAGGTATAAATAATCTCCACATTGTCAATTGATAACAAAAATAGTTACCAAAGCATATCATACATTCCATGGAAGCTTAGTTGGAATGTTTCAGTTATTTATTGTAAAGCTTTGATAGTATTTCTGATTCTGCTTATTACCCATTCATTGGAAATTCCAACTTCTTGGTTTCTATGAAGGATATGAATAAAATATTTATCTCTATGAATTTCCAGATAACAACTGCCTTATCTGATATAATGGTTATGTTTCATCATGATATACAGACCAAGTCAGAATAATACCAGCAAACTACTATTTTATATTCATTTTATTTTAAAGTGAAAAATGTGTATCAATGTGCATTTCGTCAGAAATTCAGGATCTCAAATGAAAAAAAAATCATGATTTCAATTTTTGTCTTGAAAATGCCTGTATAGGAAAAAAGTCAAAACTTGCTGTACTTGTTAAGTTCCTATTAGGAAGTATTGATTGTCTTTCAAGGTGTACCAATCTCATTATACTCAGGTGTTATGTTAGAT